ACACTGTAAGCATTGTATTAAGATAATTATAACCCTTAAATGTCTAAATGGCATGTTTGGTTTCTGATCCATACCAGGCCACAACAGGCATCCATCTTCTGAACACAGTCAGAATCCATATGCTGGAGCCAGTTCAATGTATTATGGAGGATTTGTTAATCAGGAATGTCATCCTCAGGGTAAGATGACAAAACAACCAGGTATTATTTTACCAAACAGTGTGGATGATTTTGTTAAGCATGTGCCAGCTACTGTATGTTAGGAGTTTGTGGAGAGTGTTGGATTTTTAAAGGATTCTGTAGTTCTAGTTAGTCTCTCCAGGCCTCCCTTTCTACTTTTCTGCCTTGCTAGTTAAAATGGCAGCAGTTAATTAATGAAGCAATCACCTGTAAGCACTACTGTAACAGTTTCCTCACTTAAGATTTTCTTAAAACTCATCAATGACAAGGGGTATACCCTTCTGACACCTCTGCATTACTTAAAATGGAAGGTTTCTCTTTGTATCTTATGAGGTGTTTCAAAACATTTTATTTCCCAGAACACTTGTGGATTATACTTGTATTATGCTTTTGCATTGAAAGGTTCCTCTAGCCATGGCTTGCCTGCTCCTGTAGCAGTGGATTATAGTCAGGGAAATCATCCTGCAGCCTTTTTAAATCCAAATAATCAGGGAAGCCAAACCTTGCCTCAGAGTGAGTACAGAAAATTTGTGATAATTTGTTTTTTGAATTAAAGGGAAGTAATTTTGACTGATAACTGGCGTTTTATTGGCATACTGTTGTGCTCTGTGTTGTCACAAAATTCATGTAGTGTAGCCTTGATGAGTTTTATGACTACAGTTTTATGGTGTTTGGCTTCTTATCAATATCAGGTCAGAAGAGACAGCCATGTTCTGAAAATGATCAGAATCCATATGCTGGAGCCAGTTCAATGCATTACAGAGGACTTTTTTGTCAGGGATATCATCCTCGGGGTAAAATTGAAAAATACTGTGAAATTTTTCCTCCAAACGTACAGACGTGTTGACTGACACACCACCAACACACTACCAACATGTCAACCAACACACTACCAATGCATCGGTCAACACACTACCAATGTATAGGTAACATCGACCAATGTGTCAGCCAACACATCAGCCGACACACTACCAACAACTTGGTAGGAAAAGAAATCTAAATCACCACTATCTTCTCATAACATTGCTCTGGTTAAATCTTTTGTCCTACACTGTATGTATAATGCACTTAATGACTTCCTTTACTTCACTTTCATGATGAGAGTGGAAAAGTCCATGTGCACACAACACTGTACGCATTGTATTAAGGTAATTATAACCCTTAAATGTCTAAATGACATGTTTGGTTTCTGATCCATATCAGGCCGCAAGAGACATTCATCTCCTAAACATGGTCAGAATCCATATGCTGGAGCCAGTTCAATATATTATGGAGGATTTCGTCATCAGGAACGTTATCCTCAGGGTAAGATGACAACACAACCAGGTATTCAACAGTGTGGATGATTTTGTTAAGCATGTACCAGCTACTGTATGTTAGGAGTTTGTAGAGAGTGTTGGATTTTTAAAAGATTCTGTAGTTCTAGTTACTCTTTCCAGGCCTCCCTTTCTACTTCTCTGCCTTGCTAATTAACATGGTTATATTAGTTAGTATACACATACCTTTTTGTAACAAGCATCTTTTTGCTCATCAATGTTTCTTGTTTAAATAAAGTTATACTTACTTACTTACTTACATGGCAGCAGTTAATGTTGCAATCACCAGTAAGTAAGCGCTACTGCTAACAGTTTCCTCAAATAAGGTTTTCTTAAAGCTCATCACTGACAAGAGGTATACCCTACTGATACCTCTGCATTACTTAAAGTGGAAACTTTCTCTTAGCATCTTATGAGGTGTTTCAAAGGAGTTTATTTAATTTTATTTGATGCTTTTACATTGAAAGGTCCCTCTAGCTATGGCTTGCCTGCTCCTGTAGCAGTGGATTATTGTCAGGGGAATCATCCTGCAGCCTTTTTAAATCCAAATAATCAGGGAAGCCAAACCTTGCCTCAGAGTGAGTACAGAAACTTTTGATGATTTGTTTTTTGAATTAAGGGGAGTAACTATGACTGATAACTGGCCTTTTATTGGCATACTGTTGTGCTCTGTGTAACACATTTGTCACATAATTCATGTAGTGTACCCTTTATGAGTTTTATGACTACAGTTTTGTGGTGTTTGGTTTCTTATCGATATCAGGTCAGAAGAGACAGCCATGTTCTGAAAATGATCAGAATCCATATGCTGGAGCCAGTTCAA